ATGGGTTTATTGCCTGAAGACCGGACGACACCCTACGTTCGACCCTTCACGTTTACGGGCTTGGATTATTTTGGCCCTGTTAGTATAACGATCGGACGTCGAACCGAGAAGCGGTGGGTGGCACTGTTCACGTGCCTGTCAATACGTGCCATTCACCTCGAAGTCGCATATGACCTTTCAACAGACGCTTGCATTTTAGCTATGCGTAATTTTATGAATCGCAGAGGGGTCCCAAAAAGAATTCGTACGGACAATGGTAAGAACTTCGTGGGAGTAGCAGGCGAAGTTGCGCGCTTTGTAGATGTGTTTGACTGCCAGGCGTTGCAAGCGGAATTGTCCACTAAAGGGGTAGAATGGGTCTTTAATTGCCCGGAAAACCCATCAGAAGGCGGAGTCTGGGAGCGAATGGTACAATGCGTCAAGAAAGTCTTGCGGCATACATTGAAAGATCTTGCACCGAAGGAGCATACATTCCAAAGTTTGCTCATCGAAGCAGAAAACATTGTGAACTCGCGTCCGCTAACACACTTACCTATCACGCCACAGCAAGAAGAACCGCTGACGCCAAATCATTTCTTGCTTGGTTGTGCCAACACTGCTCAGACAACGAGTTGCTCGGAACCACCCGTGAAACTTTGTGCCATCCGCAAGCAGTGGCGAATAGCTAGACAACTTCGAGATCGATTTTGGAAAAGATGGGTTGACGAATATCTACCTACACTAACGCGACGTACGAAGTGGTGCATGCCAACGAAGCCTTTGGGGATTGGCGATTTGGTGTTTATCTGTGATCCTAAATTACCAAGAAGAGAATGGCGACGTGGCCGAGTATTGCGAGTATTTCCGGGAAAGGACGGCGAGATTCGTCGAGCAGAGGTGACTACGATAACTGGTCTAACTTATCGGCCAGTATCCAAGTTGGCGGTCCTGGATCTGGTTAATGGTGAATCTGATTCGATTCACGGGGGTGGGGGTGTTGCAAATTAAAAGTTTATGTTTCTTTCTTTATA